TTTGGATACCTTCTGCTTGGGACCCCCGTGTGATAAGGTCCATACTCTGTCAGCCTCAGGGGAAGGCAATGACAAACTCCTTCAGAACGAACCTGGCAGAGAAAACTCCATGACAGCTTTGTTGCCATAAGTCAGAAATAACTTGAAGGGATACAAAAACAACATCAGCATGTAGAGATGGCAAAGTGTCTTCAAAATCCTGGAGAACCAAAGCTGGTCAGTGTAGATATATGGAACTAAGACATTGTTCTGGCTTAGTTTATGGCAGCTTCCTATGTTTCGATCTACTCATAACTCCTCTTCTGACCCTTTTTAGCGTCCAGCAATATTCTGTTCCTTGGGTGGCCCAGCTTAAACTCCATTATTCTGAACTGTAAAACTTGTTCTGGAATAATATGTACATTTAAGCAATATTGTCCTATGTCCTAACATGTTAATGGGAACCTAGGTCATATGACGCCATAAATATTAGCTACTTTGATTATTTTATTGTAGTGGCAAGTTAGAATTCCTGTGTGTGTGTGTGTCTGTCTGTATTTCCAGAATCATGTAGAAGATGAAGTTTGCCTTTTTAAAAAACCTTTTTGTGTACACCAAAACTAATCATTGAGCTTTCAAAGAGTTGTGCTTACTTGACACAAGATGGATTGGTTCAAAGTTAAGACTCTCTCCATTTGTCTCAGAGTCATTTCTTTATCTGATCCAGTTGAGAAAATCCTTTAAAAGATAGGGGGGAAATGCTTATCATCTCTGAGAGAGAAATATGAAGGGAAAGAAACCCATAATCCTCTATTAGTATCTCTTAGCAAAGACCTTCAGGTAGAAAGTCCAAATCTACATATAAATGGAACCATTCTGAACATATGTTCCGCATGGGCATGCACTGATCAGTTTTCTCTCTAAGAATAATGGGACAAGTGAAGTTTTATCATGAAGAATGATGGATATAGACTAAATTAGACATCTGAAAAGAGATGGAGAATTTGGAGAGGAGCAGCTTAGGCTGTTCATTTTCCTAATGTTTTGTCACTCTGTATCATCTGTTTAAGGATCCTGTGACCTCACATCATACTTTCATAACATACAGGTTCTTCTTAATTACAATTGATACAATGCCCCCAAAGTATGGATGATGCCTGTGCCAGACTGAGTCTTTGTCTTACTCCCCTGCTGTCACTGAACATG